GCAGGGTGGGGCGAGGGGCTGCTGTCAGGGTCCCTAGTGGGGGACAGGCCTTCCGTGGGAACGGTCCGTAGAGGTTGGTTCCCAAGCAAGCACACCACCTGTAAGCGGCAGCTGCCAGACACGCGCCCACACCAAGCCATCGTCACCGTTTCTTTGTCCTCGTTGCACCTACCGTTCGAGCCCGTATTTCCTACCTCTTCTGATACTCCTCGGGTAGTCGTGCCACGGTATGCACGGCTTAACGTTCTCTTCTCTTTCTCTCCTAACTCCTTTCGGCTTGCTGTTTCACGAACGTGCGCTCATACGGAAGGACCCAGTATCCACGTCCTCTTCGTCTCTGCCGCAAGAGTAAACTATACAGCAAAAGAGAAAAAGAGAAAGAGAGCGAGACCCCTTCTCGTTCCACCTAGTCTTCCTCCTTTTTCCATTCTAGTGCCCCGAGGAGGGTATACAACTCGTGCTACGTCTTCTTATCGTAATCTCATCCTCGTCGTACCTTCTCACCGGTCGATAGTTTTATCCTCGTCGAAGAGGAGCAGCCTGGAGGAGCGTGCTGGGCACAAGTCCGGCGTCCTCCCGATCGCAATCCCACTAGTTACACGTTACTGAATCACGGTACGTGCGTCTATGCTACCAAGTCACCGCGAAATCATAGCACCGTAGCCGGTCGCGCTCGCGCTCATCGTTTCCTCTCCGCCAATTGATCAATCATTTTCTGCTGCGTATTAACTCCGGTGTCGCGTGAGAGACACGCCGCGGATGCGAACACAAACGTTGCGCGATAAAACTCAGCGTTATGAAAAGGATGTGATGAATCGTTTATTACGAGTGTCGCGTGGGCGTAGCACAGAGTCTTCGTTGGCCGCCGACCGTATTACCGAATGCGACAATTAGCGCGGTCGTCTAGGCCTTCTTTAAGACGTATACCTTAACGTCTTCGATCGTTCTTCGAGGCGTACTTTTACAGATATCATGATTATTTAGGTTCTTTTTGTCTCCGGAAGCGGTCCAACATTTACCTTCTAATTTTTTCGATGAGAATTTAACGTATCTTGTTCGTCTTGTTGAAAATATGGTTTTAGATGGCTGATGATTTAATTTTGAATTTGTCTAAGAGAATCGTAATCGGTCGAATAATTTATGTTCGACGGTACTCTTATATTACGGTTTCTTCGTTGCTGAAAGAAGCTTACGATGTCATGTTTAATTTATATTCACTTATTTAGGAAACCGTAACCGTATTTTTCCTCGTGCAATCATTATTCGAAGAACACTTGCAAAAGAACGGTACTCTGGTTGTCTTTTTTCCGTTTTTCGTTTGCAGCAACCGCAACCACTGAAAATGCGTTTTTAACGATATGCTTACAAAGTCATTATCGTTTCTTGATATTAAACGCTCGACACGAAAGAGAAGAAGAGCGATCAGTTTTGTTGTCAGATGCACGGATAAACCTCGTGATATCCTATCACGTCGGAACAAACTGAATTGGCGGATAATAGAAAAGCGTGAGAAGTTTATCTGTTTAAGCGAATATCCCGTTCATCGATCGAGACTACAGGCAATTTTCAATTGTTTTTACGCGTTTATATAAATGACACGATGTCGACAAAATGATCTAATTTCTGCGGTGTAACGATTTTCTATTTACGCGGTATTTTTTAATTGACCGCTATCGACTATGAGCCCAAGGCTGTGTATATCGTTAGTTTCAGTATTTCGCCGGATGATCACAGTTGCAAAGTCCGAATATCCCTTTCCGTAAGATTATTTGAAAATTATACAAACGAGTTACGAATGTGCGTGCCATTCTTCGATTCTCGGAACAATCTTTCGTTTATCGATCTCAAGAATTTCTCTGTCGGCGGTGCAATTACACGCGACGCCACGCTCGGAGAAGTGATTTTCATGCGTCAACGTATCTACCTATGTATACGGCTCGATTTAAAGCCGCGCACGAACGAAAAGATTACAGATTTTCAGTTTGGCCAATTGATCGCCGTCGAAAATTGGTCGAAAGTAGCCCTCGGGTGGATTTGTTCGGGCCGAGGTTTAATTTCGCCAAGACGATCGTAAAATCGTCCTTCGCTTTGGATAGTCATCGTCCGGAATGAATAACTCGGCGTGCCTCACGTGTACATCCTGCCGCTTGCTGCAAGCACTTCCAGATACTAATTTCGTCCAGGCTTTTGCTGAATTATACACTTCGTACCCCCCTCCAATCTTTCTCTATCCTTCTCGGTTTGCGTGGCCATTCCTTCAATTATTCTTTTTTTCGCCTCTTTCTCCCATCTTTTCCCTCCTCGCCTCGGCTCTTTCTGCCAACTACCACGCTTATTTCTGCGCCAGTGGGGCACTTAAACATCGTTCGCACCGAATAATTACGCACGTTAGTTCCATCCTTCTTCTCCTGTCTCGGTTCTCCCTCGTCCGACCACCTTCTTCTTGCTACCGCGATTTTACGAGGCATCCTTCGTCTTCTTCTTCGTCTTCTTCTTCGTCTTCGTGTCCATACCTTCCTCGGCTTCCTCTCTTTTTTTTTCTTTTTTCTTTCTTTCTTCGCTACTCCCTTCAAGCCAGCCAATTGCACGTGTCCCTAACGACGCCGGCACCTCCGTAGAACTTACGCGATGCCGAGATAACGCGAAACTCCTCGGTCTCTTCTTTCTCTTATTCTTTGTTTCGCGGATGTCCAGCAGCCTTTTACCTGCTTCATTCCCTTGTCGCTCGCATCCGCGGATTCCAATTAGCTGCTGGTGCTCCGGGCAATGGTTAACGTTTTGCGGTTCTACGTATATAAGTATGTAAGCAATGGTCAGTTGCGCTTGAATTTCCATTTAAACGGGAAGTTTATATTTCGCGCGTGTTTCGCCGTACTCCGCGACGCAATTCTCACTTGGCGTAGTTCGAATCGACGATATCGAGGATTCTTCGTAATCGGAGTGTAGCCGGCGAAGAACGGATTCGTTGGCTCGTCAAATTTTCTATGGAGCATATTTTCATTTATACGAAGCGCGTATAACGAGATACGATGTTGCATTAATTTTTGTCGTAAACGATAAAAGATGACGAAGCTTTTTCCAGTCGTCGTAAAGAATTACAATAAATAATTCATAGCTGGTAATTAATGGTAATGAAATCATACTGGTAGCGTGTCTTGTCCGTTGTAATACTAATCGCAAGAGTTGCATGTTGATAAATAATCTTTCAAAATTTGAAGCGATTTTTAACTCGCATAAATTACACCGGTATATTTATATCGTCTAATTATCCGCGAGAAAAATTAATCGATTTAAATAAGTCGACTTGACAACTAGCGAAGACGAATGCACCGGTTAAATTGATCGAAACAAATTATCATTACTCGATGTGTCGCTACTACCTCCAATCTGTATAAAGTTACCCATCTCGTTTGTAAGATCGCGATTCATAATTTAACCAGCCGGTAAATGAAATCTCCACGTGTAACAGTATACGTTGATTGGTTTCCCCGAGAGCGCAAAAAGTGATAATGAAAAATGTTGATTGAAGTCTTAGGGCTGTTTCATAGCGATCGTATTGCCGGTGTAATAAAGCGGCAAAGATGATGCGTTCGAGCACCGAAAAACGGTAGCCGCCCATTGAAACCTAGTGGATTGTTTCGATGAACGTTCGAGAAACGACAGTCGCGCGAAATCGAGACGACACCGACGAATCGAAACGAATGAATGCGGCGCATTTCTCTCATTCCAAAACGGGGCTACCGTTATCGCAAGTGCAGTCGTTGCGACCTGAAGCATGCGCGATCATTTGCCACTCTTTTCGCTTTCTCGTTTCGTTTTGAAATTAATCGCGAGGATAAAAGTGAAAGACCTAAGTAACAGGCTCTTGCCCGTTCATTTTATATTTCAATGTATTCGGCACCTTTCGTTTTCCCTGTTTTTCATCCATGCAAAATTTCAAATAATTTCGCGAGAGATTGGCGAACCGTTTTCGAATCGACGATTGTTTTTAACGTCTCTGCTGCTACGACGACGATTATACTTTGTAAAACGTAGCCTTATCGCGTCTGTATGTCTGGAAACGAATTTTTGGATTTACGTAATGCTCGCTTTTCGCTGTCCAACCGAATAACGAAACGTCGTTTCTCTTATGTTTCTCATACGCTTGAAAATGAATTTTCTAATTAACGTGAAATCTGTTGGAACATTTATTAAAAAAAAAAAAAAAGAATGAAAAAATAAAATACGTCCGGTTATCGATCGGGTTAGGATCGTACAACTATTGTTAATGATATCTGTCCCACGTGGATTATCGCGATCAACGACAACAGTCCATTAGAACGATGCCAATCGGTGAAACATACTTAATACGGCCACGTGCCGACTCGATTTCAAGTCAGCTTCCTCTCACGTGCCGCTCATAGTTCATTGTTCGTT